CTGAAAAGAAAGTGAACGCTTGATGATAGCATTTTGTACTGGTCAGCTTCCAAGTATATTCCAAGAGATAGTAGCTCATTGTCCAACATGTGTTTACAGGCAATCGAGTTCCAGCCCGAAGAATTCCGATTAAGGACGAAATTAGTCTTAGAGTCCCGTCTTCAGAGGGAGCAACACCGAAAACGATATGATTCAAGGGATATCTTTCTATTCTGTCTGAAAAAACACTTAGATAATCATCACACAAAGAAACAAGAAAATGCAGATACAAAACACTTGTTTTGTGGGAACCACACAATTTCTCTAGTGTTTCGGTGGCTGCCGCTCGTCTGGTGGTATGGAGATGGTAAGAAAAGAGCGGTGACCTTAAGTTCAACTATCGCACATTTATGGTGGCTGGGAACGGTCAGAGGGAGAAGCACTCGGGGCTGGTTGACGTGACGTGTTCGTTCACAGTGTTAGTCTGAAGTGACAACTTCATACCACCAGGAAATGGTCGGCCGACGTATGCAGGTTCCGATCGACCTGTGGCAACAAGGAACAGAAAATTTTCACTGAAACAAGGCATCTCTTATGCACGAAAAGCGCTTGCGAGGTAGACCTAAACGCCAGTATGCAATTTGGTAAGCCATCAGTTCAAGGTATACTTGTTGTCCTAAAATGTCAGACAAAGGGCAGCTTCTGATGGATCTTACAAATTAGTGCATTGAACATTCGTAGTATTGATTCCAAAGCGGTGTTTTATCACAGACTGACTTAGTAAGGAAGCAAACAGTCCTCTTTGGCGACGTCGGAACTAACAAATCATTTTACTTAACATACTGGGCTCGATTGAGATAGGATGCATCCAACCGGCAATGGAGATGCATGCCCCCTCACGTATGGTCAGCTGAGTTTGCGGAGTGGAAACATGATTAAAGACCCCAGTTTTCGGTGATTCTGCGACGCAGAAAAAACGCTGAATTTATTAACTGTCGATAAAATGAAAACTTTCGCGGAAGCACGGAAAAAGGGGAAATTTATGCAGAAAGCTACTGTGAATTCGTTTTTGTTGTAATCAATATATTGGTATGCGGAAGAAATGCCAGAGCATTCAGCTGGGTGGAGAGCCATTTTGAAGCACATGCTGTGTGATTGGATTACGACGCTCAATCTCTATGTAGACCGCGATTCACACTGAAATTAATCTTGGTCAATGCGATGACTGGAATTGTAGCAGAAGCAGATGGAAATTGGGTTTTGCCCGCCCGAAAACACTGCACACCACGACACACTTCGATCTCATTTGATCTCATCTGTTCAGCTACGGTCCTAGTGATCGAGTTGATCAAGGTTCACTTCAGTGCGAATCACAGTCCACATTGAAATTGCGTGTCGTAGTTCAAAATGCCCTCCAATCAGTCGTCAACTGTTATGCATGCTATATCCACCTGATGGGATCAGATGAGATCGGAGCGCGTCGTGTGCAATGTTTTCGGGCGGGCAACACGTAATTTCCAATCGGCTGGGTATTGAAACATTCCATTGGAGTATCTAACCGACATCTGTCTACCACCTGCTATCCAAGTCCCCTTGTTCGCTCATGCACAGCTACGGCCGCGGGTTTTATTCCAATCCCACCTACGCATCCATGTCCCATCTGTCTGATCACGCTGTGCGCTCACTCCATTGTCCATTATACAAACATCCTTTGCCCACATGTACATTAAATCCGTTCGTCATCTGTTCGATCACATCTTGCCGGTACACAAGGCCCTGCATTACGGTCACCTGCGAACTATAGATGGACTGTCGCCTCTTGGGCGTTGAACAGCGGTCACGTCGTTGTATTGGGCTCGGTGGCCCAATATAAGCAATGGTGTGAATTCGCTGACCGACAGAAGTAGTCGTGATCTGCCAGTAAATTGATGAGAAAGGTTATCTGTGCCCTCTTTGAGTACTTCGTGAAGATACTGTAGTTTCAGTACGCAGCAGTTACTGCTGAGGTTTATCATTATTGAATTTACATCTTGCTTGGAACAGCGCCGGAGTTCACTCTCGGCTTTGATTTGGCTTGATTCAGTAATTCTAAGCGTTACTTGAGAATCAAGCGAATCCATCGCTTACAATAAACAACAGTTTTTAACTTTCGAAGATATCACCTTAGAAAAGGAAGCAGTATTTCGGTAGAAAAACTGACCTGCACAGAGTGAAGGAGTTTCCTGGAGAAAAGCACTGTTCTGTTCCACGTGTGAGGTGACTGTAGATACATAGCAAAACTCCACTGTGGTTGACCACCTTCGCATCTAGAAGCCCCTTCAGAAGAAAGCTCACAAGGAGCAGCAATCGACTAAACATGTTGCAGGGCTGAACTAGGTCCAAAGAAAGCTCGACAAGCAAGCGTCGTTAGTTCCATCGCAGTTGCGAACGCTGCCCATGTAGCCTGCAACATAATGGTATCCGATTTTCTACTTGCTATCGAATCTGGGAATATTCCTCCAGAGAAGGCCGACAACCCCCTTTGAAGCGATTTCTTCACAGGCACGTACGAAAGGACGGAAGCATTGCCTGATCGAACGCGTTACGTCTGAATCGTTCCCGGCTCTACGGGAAACACAAGCAGATATTGAAAGAGATGTTCCGTAATACCTTTGTCATTGTTATAACGGACGAAACAACTGATGATAACGGGAAGATAGAACAACACATCTGTTATGCGCACCATTGAAGTCTAACAAAGACAGTCTGCGAGCATACTTCATCGACACGGTCAATATGGAGAGTCAGTTCTGCCACAGTTGGAGGAGCCATTCTGCGCAGCTTGACGATGATGGGTATAGAGTTCAGTCCTGTGACGGCCTCCGTGTCCAATGGCGCTAGATACATGACAGCACGCTACCGTGATGTCATTAAGTCTGTTTGTGAGGGTTCAGTTCTCATCAGATGTGTTGCCCATTGCATTAAGTTGATTGACCATTTGCAAATTGTCACCGGAAGTCGATGAATTCGTTGCAAAAATGGAAGTGTTTTTCCTCTTTCGAGTAGCAAGAGGCGTGTCTACATGGTGTATCTAACTTGGGAAGGTGTGGATAACCCGACCGGCCCACTTGCACCGGGCATCACCCGCTGAAACTCCTGGCTGGAAGCTGTCGCACATCGCAGTAAATATTTCCATCACTACCCAGCCATGTTGCAAGCTGTACAGCATGAGTTTGGAGACTCAACTGGTGTTTGTGAACCTGTGGATATTCTAGCCAACGAAACAACACAGAAAGCTTTGAGATGGCAACTGAGTTGCATTGCGGCCGTTGGCAAGACCATCATCCGTCATTTGGAAACTACCGAATCACAATCTACAATAACCCATAGAAGTTACAATGACCTTTCCGACCTTTCCGACCTTCCCATGTCGCTGAAAACTGCCGCAGAGGAAAACTGGCTGCAGCATCTACAGACAGGACGACTGACCTTTCATAGGTGTAACAAAATCCAAACTGACATGAAAATTTTTCTCTCCAACTGCCATCAAAACCCAGGAGTTCAATGAACAATGAACAATGATTTATAACGGGTAAAAAAGCATATGCTTGACAGGTCCCGTAGGGTGGTTGGAGCAATAGATAAAATGGAAGGATAATCGAACAAGTAAATCGTTTTTTAAGCCTCTACAGATTTCAACGCACCACTTCATAATGATAGTTTGAAGTATGGACTGGATGTCTGCACCCAAGGTAGAGCTGTTATATTACAGCAAATGTGGGAAAAAGAAATCAAAGGAACGGATAACGCTCACTCGTGTGTTGCTTTCGTTGAGAGATGTGGTACGTTACTCCAGTTTGTATACATCCATGTCGCTCATTGGGACACTTCTGTATGTAACATCACCGCCACTTTGCGGGGAGGGTCAGTAACCTCATGGTTTGGGTCTCGTTATTTCGTCCTCCGAATAGGACGTGCTATGCCATATAATGCTAGCATAAGAGGCTAGCAGGCCGTTTTTGAAAGCCATTAGAGCAGGTGTTCTTAATCTGGGGGTAATCACCCCTAAAGGGTATAATGAGATTTTACGGGGAGTAAATATTAATATAGTTATTGGGTCATCAATCAGTCGCAAAACAATCGTAATAACAAAATCATATGTATCGACACATGTAACTAACTACCAATTCAATAGTGATTAGCCATCAGTGACTAGTCAATAGTCACTGCGAGTAGATGATGCCTCTATCGGCTCCCGTGTCTATCGTTGTTCTTTTGAATCAGGCCGTTGTTCGCCGGGTCGAATTACAGAGTGGAATAAACACTAATATTGGAGCATAAGTCAGCCGACCAGGTAAAGTAGCCAGCGAATGTTTACCATGGTTAGAAGGTCAAACCGGGCGATTAGTGCTCACGAAGTACCGATCCAAAGTGGGAGCTGTTACGCAGGAATGATTTGAACTGGTGGAATGAAACAAATGAGAAGCCACTGACATCTGCTCATGAATGATCAAGAATCACACACGAAAGGGTCACAAAATGTCTTGAATCGGGATAAAAGCAAGCGTTCCGAAGTGCATAAAGGCATAAGGTTTGCGGTCACACAACCAAGGCAGGTAGGGCAGCTTGGAGGCAAGTGCTTATTACGTTTTGGATTGATCACATTCATTTACCGTTGTTTTTGACGAGAAGCCATAGCCGGTGATTGAATTAACTCGATGATTTTTAATGTCGATTATAATGAGTTTATCTGCAGACGTTTACGACTATGTCACCTAGATTAACTGGCATATATATATATATATATATATATATATATATATATATATATGCAAGTCATAGCTGCATATTTTATCTGCAGTCACCATGTCATTTGGAAAAAGCGGTCCTACATAGAAGCTTTTCTGCATTGGGGCTTCACCAGTTTGTCGATAAATAGTTGTGAAACCGCAATGTGCTTTGTGCAGTAAGGTGGTCACGGAGGAGGGCATGAAACCCGGCAAATTGAAAGACCACTTTGAACAAAGTCATTCTCAGTTCGTATGAAAAGATTTTACATTCTTCAAACGTAAAGACGATGCGCTGAGAAATTTACGCCTAGATATATCGGGATCCTTTTTACAGTCAACTGAACCTGGTCTTGAAGCTTCGTGCCACATCGCTCTTCGATTCGGTGGAAACAAGAAACCGCATACCGCAGAGGATCACATCAAACTTTCCATTGTAGATGTGGTTAAGCTAGTTCTTGGAGGGAAACATGCAGAGAAGATAAGTTTGATATCACATTCTAAATGGCACCATCAAAATTCGCACCGATGACATGAGCATGAATCTTTTGAACACGGTGCTCAAGGAGATAACATCAAGTCCTTTCTTGGCACTATAGTTACACTCATAATAATATTGATAATCATATAACTATGTATATTCGTAATCGAGCGAGAAGCTGTGTTCATATTTGGCACAGATCATATTTTACGGATGTCAATCTCATGCATGAGTGGTAACCAGTTTTGTGATTTCCCTTGTCTTTGCTGTTTCAAGGGTATATATTTACTCGCAGGTGA